TTTTTGGGTTTTTTTTTTTTTTTTTTTTTGTGGTAAGTAGTTTGAAATAATATATAAAAATATCAAGTATGTAATATCTATTTTTGTTTGTTTTAGTAACCTATTTTAGTCTTTGTATTCATATACATAATTAATCACCTGCTCCAAACCTAATTCTTTATTATCGTTGTATTAAAAGAAGACAAAATGTACTCACTGGCTGTCTAATGAGATAACCACTTTTATTGAGAGATAACCACTTTTGTTGAGATGTTTCAAGATGTTTCAAGATGTTCCAAGTTTGAAATTCAAACTTTTAATGGTGCATTGATACTTTTGAGTTTTGGAATATAAAAATCTATCAAATACAAATGAATAGATTTGATGAATGATGGATACTTTGTGAGCTTTTGGGAATACGAGACTTTCATATGACCTGTCATAATCAAGTTTAATCTTAGTCTCGAAACTGGAAAATTGATGGAAGACACTCACTATCAACTCTTTAGCTACTTAAAAATGGCTCTTCTTCGAGCCAGCGAAACAAATGACAGATGACGGCTGTGGTGTAGGCACCATTGCCTAAGCATGTTAGAACATGCAATTTTTTTTTTTTTTTTTTTGGACATGTCTCATCCCTATACTTTCAAACTATGTTAGAATTATGATTCATTCAAATTTCCTCAACTCCCTCTGTATGTTCCCTTTAAAAATCATTTGTAATTTACCTCTACCAAACTTACTCCATTCCAACATTACAATCCCAAGCCACTACACCAATTCCCATTCACAAATCTCAACAAAAAACAACTCATTAAGAGACCTGCTTAGAAAGCCAAGAGAAACATTTCACATCTTTGCTACCAAAATCAACAACCTTAAATTTATGCAAGAATATCAATTATTGAGAGTCATTCCAAACAAAGATTCAAAAGTGGAGGGAGGAACAGACCTGAAGATGGAAGTACCGCACTAATCGTTTTCCCACAATTGCAATAGTGACTAGTTCTTTTATTGTACCTGCTAATCAGCTATCGAACTATCAGCAAATTCGGAGGTCGTCCTTTGAAACTGAAGAAAAGACACTGCTCTCTACTCAACTTGTCCAGCCAAGTCCTGCAGGAGTGGATGGCAGACTGTATGAACTCAATTCCCCTCATCTACAAAACACGATCACCCACTAGCAAAATTGCAGTTTTGATGACAGGGTTTAATAAAGGCACATCTTTTCTCAATTCAGTGTCTAGCCTAAGGCACCTTGACTTGAATGTGTGATAAAATGCCTTTGCTTCATGAAAGCTAATTTCGGGCGGCACGCAACCACTGTGTGCAACCAAAGTGAGTGGCACGATACTCAAATAATCAGACAAGAAAATGTATGCCTCTACATCCATATGATCCAGTCAATCTCTCGCGTATTTTCCCAGCTATAAATTCTAATGCCAAGTGACTAACAGTTAAGAAAAACGTCAATCAACCAACCTGGTCATTGCTTGTACCCACAATCAACACAAATTTGGGGGGAAACTAACAAGCAAGGCATGTTTCTCAACACTTCCCATCATCACTTGCAACACTTGTTGGCGCTTTGAGGATTACATGTTCCTTAACTCTCAGACTATTCCACTTTAGTTGCAAGTGATGGGACCTGACGATATACTTCCATTCGTCTACAACACAATCAAGTTCTAGCCAAATAAGCTATTTTGGTAGGGCTACGAAAAGCTTGTGGTTGTATCACAAGAAAATCCAACTTACTAAACTAAAACATAAGGTACTTGCAATTCAAACAAATGCTCAGTGCCAGAAAAAGCAGTGAAGACGTGAATTAAAAATCAAGGATGGGATTAAGAAGTGAGATAAACATAGGGGACAAAAAAAATAGTATCACCCTTACTCTTTTCATTCTCATAATTCTCTCATTATCAATACTTAAAACATTTCATCCAAACTACAATTTCCAGAAACAAAGGGCTCTAACCTCGAAGCAAAACTCACATAAACCTTAGTATAAAATCTATCCACTTAAACGAATTTCTTCACAAACTGATCGCTGCTTCAAAAACCACGACTTATAAGCCTGAAAGAGAAGTACAGCTACCAAGGAAAGAACTAATAAAAAGACAAACTTAGATTATACATTCTAAGATGCGAGAACCCCTCTCCAATCTGAAGATGAACATAAATGATAGTGTAACACCTTCCCAGAAGACCTACTATCCATATTTTTACTGCCGCCCCAAATACACACACCGGTAATTATACGATGTGAAGGGCAGTACATATCCATATTCATCCCTTCCTGCAACTACATAATTAGAGTAACATGAAAGGAAACAGTCCCATGCCAACGGATCTATTGACATACTTTGAATTCCATTAGAAGAAAACAAGATCTGACATTAAACATGACCATGATAGCAACGTACATGATAAAGGGGTTCAAACATTGGCTAATATGAGAGACTAAAGTAAAAGAATTGCGTAATAATCGCCCCAAGTAATACAGACTCCAATTCATGATATTGTATATAGTGAAAACTAAACAAAATTTGATCCATAAATTTGCAACATCTTCAGATACAATCTACATTATCAGAGACCAAACCCTAATCAAGTTCTTACAGATCACAAGAATTCAAACTGAAGAGAGTACAACAGGTAAGCCTAACCCATAATCAAATTGCCGTCAGTTCGTTCATCAGGCAGCGATCAGGATCTGGCTATACACGCGCTGCAATTGCAGGACCTGCGGCTGAAGCAGCGGAGGCGGCGTTACCGAGAAATGACAGGAATCCTCCATTAACAGGTTCTTGGTCGTCAAGGAAGAGATCCTCTGGAACCCTAAACGCACCGTGAATGCAGACAATTGCAAATCCAATCAACGACGCCGATATCAGGAGCGATCCAACACTAGTGAGGAAAACCACAATCACAGTCAGAACCCCCAACCCGACCAACGTTTCGAAATCGGAGAAAGTACGGCCGCGAATAACCAACGGCTGGTCGGAAGGACGGAAAATGTAAAGAAAGCTCCAAGCCGCGAGGAGTGAAAGAAGAGTCAAGAGAGAAAACGGGTGGGAAAGGAGAGAAAAGGCTAGAACCAAGGCAAAGAGGGTAATGTAATTGACACGGAAGTATGAGAAGTTCTTGCGGATCCGGGAATAGGCTTCGGAAAGGTTATCGGGACGAGCCATCGAACTCCGATCGACAAGCTCCGTCCATGGGCGACGGTGGGAAAAGCCTTGGCGGACGGAGGAGGTTAAACGAGAGAGAAAAGCGCGAAAGGCAGGGGTGGCGATAGGTGGCTGCGAAGGAGCTCCGGCGGAGGAAATCGGAAGTGTCGGTGGAGAAGCCATCGAATCGAAATCGAGAGTGAGATCTGGCGGTGCGATGTGATATTTACACAGTGGATTTCCAGAGGAATTTGTTTGTTCGTTTGTAGACCCGCGGAAGAAGATGATTTACGCGGTCGTGATCAATATTATATATAGGGTTTAATCTCTAAGTTTTTTGACTAAGGTCAATTCCTTAATCCAATTACACCCTACTCTAACACCTACACCGATACTCATTTCTTAATCAACTACGACTGCACTTCTCTCCTTCTTTATTCTCTTTTCTTGGATCAATTTTCGTACAAACTTAAGACTATTTAAGCTTTGGAGAGTTGGAAATTCAAAGTTGGTTCTTCCTGACATTTGTGCCAAAATTCATCCACAGTGCATTTCTAGGTAGTTGAAAAAAAGTATCAAATATATATAATATTTTGTTTAAGTCTAAAAAATGAAAGCAAGGTGGGGGTACAGCCATAAAATTGTATTAAATAGGATAGTGATTAAGATAAAGATAAACGTTACTAAATTTATAAAATTCATTGGGAAGAAAAGATACCAATTACAAATCTATTTAAGAAGATGCCTTGGTTAACTAGCTTGCTTGTCCCCTAATACAGATCCACCACAAATATATTATCCTTTCTAATTTCATAAACTGCTTTCACAATTTCTAAATTCAAACCCTACAACTTACCTTACTATATTCCTAACAATAATTGAATCACTAATACTCCTTCTATGATTGTTTAAATCTTAGAAGTTGGGGTAACGTTTCCTCTCCCATTTTCAGGATTCGTTGAGGTTTTATTATATGCATTTAGTGAAGAGTTCTCCCTAATTAAAAAGTGTCTATCTATCAAATCCGATCTTATCAAGTTCTTAATCTATTTTTCTCTTCATTCTTGATCCCAATGGTCTCAATAATCACCTTTTCAATCGACCTTCCTTCCAAGAATCTTTGCTTTGCTTTGCTTCCATCCATGAAAGAGCCTACAAATATGGGAGAAAGGACCATATTTTTCCTTACAGAGAAAAGACAGAGAGTTCAATACTTGCATGTTGCCATGGCCTCCTGTAGCTTTCCTGACGTTTATTCCTGGATACAGAACCTACCACCACTTTCTCAATGGAAAACTACTTCCATTTCTACATCCATATGCTCTTCAAGTTCAACCAATTCCTCGCTCAAAATTGTTGCAGCAAAAACCCTTCATTCCCCAACCATTACTTTCTCAGTTACTGCAGATTTCAGCTTTCATATCTCCCTTTGGACATCACAACCACTGAAGACCAGCACAAAAACCTCCAACTTATTGAACAAAGAAAGCATGTCCACTCTCTTGCTTAATTGTGTTCGTGATGTTCTTTACTATGGCTCAAACCATAAACAGAATTCTAGCCATAACCTTCTCAAACTTGACATCACTTCCTCTTTGAAAGAAATCTTCAATCACATATTTCTTACCCTCATATTCCTAATCTGCTTCTATGAAGCTCCGATCGACCTCCGTTCAAATTGTCTTGTGACTCTCAAGCATCATTTGGCAAATTGTACGTCACGGCAGACATCAAAGGTGCTTATGAAACTGTTGGGGTCTAATCTAGAACAACAATGGATGAGGTCAATAAACCTTGCTATCACCAACTGGATATTGGAACTTAAGGCCAAGGGTCGTACTTTGAAAACACCCTCACCTTTGTTCTCTTATTCATTTTCGACGTATGGGCTGTGGAAAGTTCAACTCTATTGCCCCATCATTGCAATGGATAATATTGAGAACTCGAGCAATCCTTCAACTGATGAAAGATTGCAGTTCTCTTTAAATTATCACCAGCTTGAAGGGGTTCTGCAATTCAATTACAGGGCCGTGACTCGAGAAAAGTGGATTGATCTGAGGGTGCACGTTGATAACATAAGGTATATTGAATTTTGAAGTTAGAACTATCTTTCTTACTCCTAAGAACAAATTCATTCCCTTTCTTACTGACAGTAACAATTAAAATAGAGGCAATTTCTTGAAAAGCAGATGGAAATCTGATCTTACAAGCTATTAGTGTTCAAGATTCACACGTATCTTTGACAATTGAGTTTAAAATGTACACTGGATTTTTACAGGTGTGACATCATTCGGCTTGTGAGCGAGACTCTCTTATCAGAGCGAGGAGTTGGTGGATCAGAAAAGCATTTTCCATCACGAATTTCTCTACAACTCACTCCAACTTTTCATACAAACATAATGAGTGTCTCAGTAAGCAAATCCTCAAACAACCCCAAAGTTGAGATCGGAACTGAAAAAACCTTTGAGGCTGGATTCGAATCTGCAACACCGTTCCCAGGCCTCAAATTAGCAGTAGGGGAGACTGTAATTGTGAGCTTGAAGCCATGGAAATTTGAGCAGTTCGTCCATGGCAATGCTGCAACCCTTAACTGGTACCTTCATGACAGTTCGGATGGGAAAGAGGTGGCCTCCACCAAGCCATCAAAACTTACACTCATAAACCCTAAAGCTTGGTTTCGAGACCGTTACTCGAGCGCCAACAGGCCTTTTAACAAACAGGGAGGGGTCGTATTTGCAGGAGACGAGTACGGAGAGAGTGTGTGGTGGAAGATTGATGGAAAGGCAAGAGGGAAAACTATGGAGTGGGAGATTAGAGGTTGGATCTGGTTAACTTATTGGCCAAACAAACACAAGACATTTTACACCGAAACTAGGAGGCTGGAATTCAAAGAGATTCTCTATCTTTCAATTCCTTAACTCATAAGAAATCATTAGAAATGGACAGACCAATAGTCTGAGATCACTTTCAGACTTGTTCACTTTCTTTCTTAGTGACAAACATGACAGATCTCTAATTTAAACGTGTTGCCAACTATATTTGACTACATATGGGAATTTCATCATCAGTAAAAGTTTGTATAGGTTCTTTGATAATTGTGTTTTATTGAGTCACTTTTAAACTTTCAATTTCGTCCCTTTTTTTTTTTTTTTATATAAGAAACAACTACATAAATGATAGAAAATTACAACAAAAGTAGGAAAAGATGGAAGGCCGCTTCAAAGGAGTTACAAAAATACTCTCCAACTTACAGAGAAAAAAAGCTATAGAATGAAAAAAAGGGAGAACATTCATACCAAGAAACACCCTCACCTTTGTTCTCTTATTCATTTTCAAAACATAGGCTATGGAAAGTTCAACTCTATTGCCCAGTCATTTTAATGGATCGCATTGAGAACAAAAGCAGTCCTTCAACTGATGAAAAGATTGCAATTTTCTCTAAATTAGCACCAGCTAGAAGGAGTTCTGCAGTTCAATTACGAGGCTGAGGTTCAAGAAAATTGGATTAATCTAAGGGTTCACGTTGACAACATAAGGTATTTTGAACTTCGAAGCTAATTTTTGCCTGCTAAGAACGAATTTCTTCTCTCTCACCCACTAATTGTAATAAAAGAACTACCATCAAATTCTTGAAAAATAGATACCAAACCGATCAAGCTATTGGAAGTAATCGATGATAAGGATTCTCACGTATCTATGACGATTGAATTTAACTTCTCTCTCGCACCAAAAGTAACGACTAGAAGCACTTTCTAGATAACTTAATTCCAAAGCTGTTCAAACAAGCTAATTCATATTAAAGATTCTCACGTATCATTGACAATGGAAATTAAAACGTACCTCCCTCGAATTCTTACAGGTGCAACATCATCCAACTCGTGAACGATACGCTGCTGTCCAAACGAGGAGTCGGCCGATCCAACAAGCATTTTCCATCACGAATTTCACTGCAACTCACTCCAACTCTACAAACAAACATAATGAGCGTCTCAATGAGAAAATCACCAGACAACCCTATAATAGAAGTCGGAACTGGAAAAACACTAGAAGCCGGATTCGAAAGCTCAAATCCTTACCTAGGCCTAAAATTAGCAGATGAAGAGATCGAAACGGCGAGCTTAAAGCCATGGAAGTTCCAGCAGCTCGTCCACGGCAGCACCGGAATCCTCAACTGGTACCTCCACGACAGAGTTTCTCGAGCGCTTTCCGGCAATGCAAGAAACAGGGAGAGGTGATATTCGCCGGAGACGAGTATGACGAGAGAGTTTGTTGGAAGATTAACGGAGAGGGGAGAGGGAAAAGCATGGAATGGGAGATCAGAGGTTGGATTTGGTTAGCGTATTGCTCAAACAAACACACGACGTTCTACACTGAAACCAGGAGGCTGGAGTTCAAGGAGATTCTCCATCTTTTCAATTCCTTGGCTTTGAAGAAATCGGTGGAAATGGAAGGAGAATAACGAACAAGGCTTCCGCGCCAACATGGCATTAAAAAGGAAAGGTAACGTTAATAAAAATATACATTCCCAATTTTCAGCAAATAATTTACAAACATTATGTTTTTCATTTTTAATATAATTTATATTAAAAAATGTAAAACATTATTATTAAATTTAATAATATTTCATAACAAAAATATATATATATATATAATATAATATTTATGAATTTTTAAAATTCAAATTTCAATAATATTATATCCGGACTAGAAATATAATTTCTATCTTCAACTCTATTTAGCTAACAAAAATCCTTTCATACTACCTCTGCCTCCTTTATTTCACGCTTAAATAGGAATTTTTCTTTTCCCTATAATACCCGTGATCCTAAACTTCAAAAATGGGATAGAACTCCCACAGCCATTATTCCTTACAAAATTTAAATAAATGGCCGTAGAAAAGTTCCTAAATTTACCACCTTTCTAAAACGGCTTTGGCTAGTGATTTATAAATGTACAAAAAGCTAAGGAAACAAAAAGAAAAGAAGGGGATTTTTGTAAAGGCTATGCTCCATTTCATCTGCTCATCGCTATAGACCAAGATCCCAGTGGAGCATCATGAACAAGGGCGCTATCCATCATCCTTCGCCCGCTAAATCTCCCTCTAAACTGTTGCTGCTGCACCAACAACACCGTCGACGTGCTCCCGAAGTCCGGTGACGCAAGTATATCACCGACCACCCCGAGCTCTGGACATTCACTCCATTGGTGAAGGCCGTTGAGAATGGGATTGTCCTCGTGTCGTAGACCGGTAATTATTAAGTCGAAGCAATCCTCCATGCCTCTGATGGACGCAGCCATTCCTGCGCCGTCTCTCACCATCTCTTCCACCACCACAAAATGCTCGTGTTCCATGTTGGCTAGTCGGAATTCATGGATCAACTCAGAGTCGAGCTTCCTATTCTTGTTGTTTTCAGCTCCAAACAGAAGGAACCGAATGACGGTTAAGTCGACAGTGTGATGCCTTGCCATTCGAGTTCCTAACGCCAACGACTCTGCATCGTCCGGGCCACCAATGAACAACACAGCAATATGATATGGAGATCGTGCAGTCAAGAAAGAGGCATGCTTCGTCAAAACTCCCCTATCTACCAGAATTGCAACTGAACAAGGCGCCATTTCAAGAATTTGAATGTTCATATTCTGAAGGGCTCGGTTCACCTTCCCAATTGAGCCATCGATCGCCCACTGCTTGTGGAAAGGAAGGATGGCAATGGTGGCCCTCTTGTCAAATGCGAGTCTACAAACGTCGTCGTGCATAAGGTCGTAAGGTGATATCGCGGTGAAAGCATCGACAGTGGCACAGCCTGCATTATGTTCTTCATATTGCCTCAAGGCATTGATAATGTGGACTGCTTTGGACGAAGATCTCTCGAGTGTGCAATCCGGTTGGTGTGCTATAAGAACTGGGTTGCTTCTGCCAATGAGCTCGACCAAAATGAGAGCTATTGCGGCCAAGGGGCTGTCTCTTGAAGCATAGGACACTTCAAGGAGGTTAATGATCGTGGGGATGTTGTCCTGATGGTGGATGCAGACCAAGATTCGGAGCTCGGCCTCCGGCTTCAAATGTTGAATTGTACATCTTGATGACGAGAGGTAGCGTTTAGATGGATCATAAAGATGTTTGATTAATGGTGTTACGATGCCTGTTATAACCAACATTGAGATAACAGCAAAAGAAAACTCTTCGTCTGAAATCACCTACAGAAGAAATGTAACAAAAATAGATGATGTTCTGTTCAGTGTATATACATTGAATAACTTGATAGACTCGATATCCGCTTCATTCTAGCTTCAATTTTGGCCTTCCTAGTGTTAAAATATTGATCATAGTTGCAATGATTTGGTTAAATCTCCTAAAATGTTCAAGTCATTATCAGATGCGCATTTTCTTAAGACATGCATAGAGAGGGAATGACCTAAAAAAATAGTGGAAATCAAGTAAGTTGCAGGGTAAAGAAGAACTGGGATGTACAAAACATGGGAGTTTTGGAGATTGGGATTTCTAATAAACAGAAAGGGTTTGCAAGCATCTCATCATCTATCTCAGTCACGTCTAAGAAAAACATGTCAACTAAGAAAGCTGGGACAGGTTTAGATCAAAACGAGTAAAAAAAGCTCAAACCATAGTTTAGTTTATTTTTAGTTTTAACAGATCATTCTATGCATGAATCGGTCAAAATAAAGAGGGTTTTTTGGCTCATTACCGCACTGTGCTTCCAGAAATTAAAAAGGATCAGCTGCAAGAACCCTCTAGCATTCAGAATGAGGCCAAGAACCAAAGAATCTCCACGTCGCAGATTGATGTATTTTGCTGGCAACATCACGGCTCCAATCTTAACAGTGCAGGAAAACAGAAGAACGATCCCAACAACCCAAGACTCCTGAATTTTGATAATGAAGATATTGGTCTGCAATCCACTAACAGCAAGAAAAGTTGGATAAAATAGCCTTGAAGCTAAAGTTTCCAATTTGGACACAATGGTAGAACCCAATGGAGGACCATCTGGCACAACCAAGCCAAGAACCAATGGCCCCAAGAAATAATGTTGCCCTATGATCTCACTCAGAAACCCACTGAGCAGGACAAGAAGGAAAATCCAGATAACAAAAATCTCGTTGATGAACTTCCGGTCTTGAAATCGCCTATGTATATGCATAACTGCAGGCTTGACGATGTAGATGATGGCAGCAATAAGTGCACATGATGATAATAGTGAATAAAATGGACTATTTCCGCTGGCTTTCTTGTTCTCTGTGAATGATAAGACAGCAACGGTTGTGAGAACGCCTAATACGTCACAGAACATGGACGATGAAAGTGCGAGGCGACCGATATCTGTGTTCAAGATCTTAAGCTCGGTTAACAGACAAGCAATAACAGGAGAGCCAATCAAGGTTTGAGACAAAGCTATGAAGAAAAGAGAGTTGGCGATGTTGCATTCCACTGGGCAGGATTGCTTCAGAATTAAGATAAATATGATTGGTAACGTCAAGGTGAACACGAACACGAACAAACCTACAACCATTGCTTGTCGCCCCGGCCGCAACATTACTGCCCCATCAATCTTCACTCCCACGACAAAGAGGAAGAACATGAGGCCAAAAGTTCCAAAAGTTTCCAATATCATGTTCCCTCGTTGGGGGAACAACGCTTTTGCTATCTCATCTTTTTGCCCCAAGAACGATGGACCCAAGATGATGCCTCCCTGCAAGTAACATTTTCGACACAACCAATTAAGAATGCATCTAAGAGACCAGATATACACACACTAATTTATGAGCTCAAACTTCTTGAGTTTGACATTGATATTAACATAACATCATCAAAATAGGAAATCGTACATTTGAACCTCTGCAATGTCATTTCTTCTCATATCGATATTAGTAGTTTACACATGATATCCAACCTCGCGCGTTTACAAGTGAGTTAAGCTTTTTGAGTATTACTGATTTAAGAAGGAATCAAAGCGCATTTGATGTGCAAACCTAACAACGTCACATAGGATTTTCACGAATCAAATGAAAAACCAGGTCACATATCCTCTAACTAATCACCATTAGTTTCTAGCTCGAGGACGCGTAGTAGTCTACCGACAAGTTCTTTTAGAACATTCATCAAATACGTAGAGTGCATCCACAGATTGAGCAAGAAATTCATAAGGAAATGCGATTGTGATTAAACATATATAGAGATCATGGATTGAGGAAGAAACTTACAAAGATATGAGAGACGACGGTGGATTGTCCGAGCGGTTTGAGGATGACTTCCATAAGTTGGGAGATGAAGGAAATTGCAGAGAGCTGTAATAAGAAGAGAGAAGAAGGGGATTTTGCAGAGAAATGGAATAAATACCGCCATGGATCATCTGCTTGAAATCTCGGCAAAGTTTCACACACATAAGTTTGGTTCTCGGAAGCCATAGACATTTACAAGAACCAACCATGAAGAAGAAAAAGAAGAAGAATGCAAGGAGAGGGAGAGGGAGAGAGGGAGCAAATGGAGGGATGGTTTTCCAAGTGTCGTGGATTTATTACAACTCTTTCACCATAATTTTCTAATTTTGGTTGTTGGGAGTTGATGGTTTCAAAGTTAACTTCAATTGTTTTTTTTTTCTTTTTTTAAATCTTGAGACGGACCGCTCTACCTAATGGGCTAAAACGAATCATATCTATCAACATCAACAGTGTTCTGTTACACTCACGTTGCTATTCTATTGATAAATTTTAAAAAAAATGTAAAAATTAATGCAATTGCATAGTGGATTTCGTGTTTAAATGTAATATACACTGAACTATGTATACGAAAGTGATACACACCCCAAAGAAGAAGAAAAAAATAAGCTTAAATTCAAGTTTTGTGTTCTACTACATAAGGTTATGTGTGCACGAAAGTGATGTACATGTACCATATAATGATTGTATGTGTATGTATTTTTTGACCTAGTAATAGTATCACTTACCATGTACTTTTATATTCAATTTTTGTTCAATTAAGGGCAAAAATGACCTAAACGAAGTTAGGGTCGAGTCTAAATATATTAAGTAATATATATATATATATATTATTTGTTATATTTATGATCGAAAGTTTAATTTGAAAATTTTCATTAAAAGCTTTGATAAGTTTTAACTTTCCAGAGAGTGTACTACTAAAGCCATGTTTTCAATTCCATCAATATGAGCTCGGGGAGAAGATCGAGTAACACCAATTACAAACAATGTGTACTCAGTACATGGTACCTACCATGTGACTATGATGAAAAATATTTGGTTCTCTATATGAAGCAATGCTGAAGTAGCATGACATTACACGGCCTATGACGAAAAACGTACATATCTATCAAAGGCAAGTTACATTATCTTTAATCATTCAAAATCAATTCAATATTTAATTTACACGTATCAACGTTTGCGCTTAATAGTGAGAAACACGCCTATGTCCACAACACACAAAACTCACACGAAACTCTTTGTTCAGAATGCATGATCTGTTACATCTGCAGTGTGAAAGCTTATAATT